TTAAAATATATGTATTTTTATGCTTACACATTTTAAGGTGCCAAAGAAGAGTTGCAAACTGTGAAGTAACTTTTAAGAAGAGATGAAGCAAAGAATGGAAGGCAAATGACAGTGGCAGTAAAGAACCGTATGTGGTAAGATCCTAACATGTGTTATTTCATCTACCACAAAGTTAGTTCATAAAAGTAAAACTGCCAAACTTGTTGTCATTAGATATTTTATACCAAAGACATGTTTAACCGTGATAACGAGTTTGTAACTATGCCATGCCTTGTCTTAGGGAATTTTAGCAATGCCATATCATTTTGTTTGAAGCTTCCAAGTCACCTTTCGAGATCTACCTTTATAAGGACCTTTTACAATTAATCCATTTTACAAGTAATGTCATCTATACTGTAACTACAAAAAGACATAAAATGTTTAATACCATTGGAATTTATATCTTACTACTTTTGAATTTTTTCTGAACTTCTATGTTCAATTATCATATATGTGTTGAAAGTATTCTGGCTGAAGAGCAAATACTATACAGTTGAATAATCTCAAGGGGCAGATTAATCTATAGTCTTTCTTTATCTCAGGGTGGGTTGCTGTGGCAACCGCCCCAGCTCACTTTAAAATAATTTTTTAAAGCTCACTTCAAGAGCTACACCCAGCGTGGGCCAGGCTTAAAAGCAGGCAGACCAAGTGCACAGGGCTTTAGTAGACTGCTGCTTTAATGTAGGGAGGTGATGGTAGAGAGAGAGGAGGGTGGCAGAAGATGATTTGCTGAACAGAAATTGGAAATGTAGCTTTCCTATAAGTTAAAATCCTGAGGATCACACTCTCTGCAACTTCTGTGGCACTTTAATAAAACAAGTTGCTGAATAAAATCCTCCTGAAAGCAAAGCAAACTCATATATATGTACAAGTATAATAAAAGCATTGATGATAATAAAATATTTGGTCATTTTGTTAAAGTCTTTATAGTGAAGCAATAGTAGGCATACTTCTTTTTTCCTTAAAGAACCTTTCATTATACTGGAAAGACCACAAGCTTTCAATTGTTTTAAAGACTGTAAGAATTTGTTGTTTTCCAGTCTCTAAGATTTGAGTTGTTGGACAATTCATTTTACACATACGCAAACTGAAAGACAGAAAGGAAAAAAAAATACTGTTGTTTGGTACCACTGAGTCAGTTCTGACATTAAGTATAACAGAATGAAACACCACTGCCCACTTGTGCACCGTACAATTACTGCTTATGTTTGAGCTTATTGTAGCCACGGGGTCAATCCATCCTGGTGAGGGGCTTTCTCTTTTTTGGTGACCCTCTTACTTTACAAAGTGTGACACCCTTCCTCAGGAGCTGGTTCCTCCTGATGGCATACCCAAGGTGTGTATGAGACCTCCTTCCTCCAAGGGTGCCCTCTGGCCATACTTCTTCCAATACAGATTTGTTCCTGTCAGTCCACAGTATAGTCAATATCCCTTGTTAACACTGTGATTCAAATACATCAATTACCCTTTGATTTCCCTTCTTCATTATCTTCACATGCATATGAGATGACTGACAACATCACAACTTAGGCCACCTTAGTCTGGAAAGTAACACTTTTACTTTTTATTAGAAGTCTTTTGCAGCAGATTTGCTTAATGCAATGCATCTGCTTTTTGACTACTGCTTCAATAAGAAGCACACACATTCCTTACTTAGGTTCAAATCTCGAACTAGACAGCCCCATGTCTCCTAATGCTTAGCCCAAGCTTCTCCTATAAGAGGAGATGCTCTCATGCTAGTCCAGTACCATTAGGTGGCAAGGATAAGGATGGTTTTGATTTTAAAAATATCCAAAAGTATTTAGAGAATAAAATCACACTCTGGATTAACTATTGCAGATTATTCATGAAAAATTTGAAATCTCAGATGACTTGGTATTGTATATTTCTGTGCAACCTCTTCTTCAACTATAAAGGCTCTTGGGAAGGGAGCTAATGTTTATATTAACATAGGTCACACATAATTAAGATGCTAAATCAGCTTAGTGGAAAAAAAATCTTAAATATCTTAAACAATGTATAGCCAGATCTAAATTCTATTTGCCTTATCTAAAGATTGAGGTTATACACACTTCTGAATGCTTGCATTATCTAGTAATTATGGGTTTGTTATACTGCTTATTATTTAAAAACCATGCAAATATGTTAAGGTAAAAGAAAAAAGTTTTCTGCAAAAAAAACAAATTTGAAACAGAAATGCACTGTGATACACAGAAATATCTGTTGTTCCTCGGGTTGCTCTGAGTCGTACTTGACTTGATGGCACCTCACAACAGAACAATGCATAAAAAGTAGCACAGTTTAAGTTATGTATTTGTTATGATTATTGGATCATGCAAACTAGAGAGTTACCATTTATTATATCCCTGTAAGGCATTCAAACAATAAACTCAGATGGCCCGGCATTTAGTTTTATTTGTCAGCACCTTTGTGAACCCTGAAAATGGAATTATCTCCATTTCTACATTACATAGAGATGGTGTTTTAGACTTAAAATGGTTTTGTGCCTTTACATTTAGCGATTGGGTTTGTTTTTGTTTTTTCCTACAAGTTGTACCTTGAATAATATAGGTTATCTCTGCCATGTTAAAATGAGTTAATTGTAGGAGTAAACTCACCAGATGAAAAATAGACAAAAATATAAGGAAGAGATAATACTAACCCAGATGGGCTTCACCATGCTTTCTTACAATAAAACCAAAGGGAGTCAGCTGTGTTGATGGTCGGCATGGTGATGAGCCATAAGCCTGAAGAGTGTTCATATCTAGTTATATGTGTCTGTATAATCTACTTTGCCCTCCTATTGAAACCTCAGATAATGCTTAAGCATTGGCCCCTTTCCTCTGAGAAAGATTGTTGTGTGCTCCATGAAGTCAGAACCCACCACAGCTGACCATCCAGCGGTTTTCAGAAGCAGTAAATCGCACTGGAGGAGATGGCCCATTCTGCTCCTGCACTCACACCAAAACAATTCCAACAATGGAGCAGAAGGTATTTTAAGCCACACTGGGCCCTTGTATTAAAATAGTAGTCTGGAGACACACTGCAGAATTTAACAGGAAATGCAACCAGTCATTGGGTTAAATACATAGTGCCGAAAGGATTTTTTTTTTTAAATGGAGACTTAGCTAGGTATTTCAGTTTACTTCTATTGTCTCCTGTTTACGTTTTGAATTTTCTCGTCTTCTACAGTATTTTAAAAACAAAAATTTGAGCTAAACATGTTATATAATCCCCAGTTCTACTGCCATATAGCCTTACCTTTTTATGATTTATATTCTAGTTGATATATTTTTCTCTTTGGCTTTATTGGTCGTGGTGAAATTAGCTAGGGAGAGGAGATGCCCAATCGCGGTTGCTAAAGATTGAGCATTATGTTTTGTAAGGAAAAGTGTTCGCTAGGCTTAAACCTTAATATAAGTATTCCTCCTTATCAGTCTTCATTTCTGCTTCCTGTGCAAGCTGAAACTCATCAGGATAAGTGAAGTCATCAGCTATCAGACAAGAAAGCCTAATACATTTGGGAAGTTGGTTTGATTTACATGTTAATGAGCTGGATGAAGTCCAGTAAGGTGTGGAGGAGATAAGAGTTGGGGAGGGGGGACAATCTTTGAGGAAGTTACTTCCTCGGTACGTTTTCCCAACTAATGAGAAAGTTCATGGCCCAGACATGAATTCTAGTTCCTTTCTTATATTAATCTGTTGTACACCACTAACGCTCGAGAGCATTTCGGGTGGCATTTCTAGTCCTCCAAACTCTGCCGGCCGAAAACTGCGGATTCTGGGCGGGAAGGAACAGCGCGCTGGAATCGAGTGCAGCAGACATCCTGCACCGGGGTTTTTACGCCTGAGTAACAAGAGGAGCGCACAGCCCGCTGGAGTAACGAAGTGGTTAACACGTCTCTAAAGGGGGGGAAGTCACTAAGAGTAACTATTAGGGTCGCGTTCCTATTGGTCAAAGAAAGATCCCGACTTTGGAAGGACTTTCCGGCTGGCGGGCTGGCGGCGTCCCCTGGGAGCGAGCGCGTTGCAGCAGCCAACTCGGTTCTCTCCGCGCGTCCTCGGAGGCGGCGGCGGCGCTGGGGGAGAAGCGGGGAGCCGCTGCTAGCGGTGTTGTCTTCATTTCGTGCAATAAAGAATTGTCATTAGGTTTGCGTATGGCATGTGCCATTACCCCACCGTAAAACTAAAATTAGCAAAATGTCAGGAATGGAAAGATTGATTCACCAAGATGCAATTATCATTTAAAAGTGCTTGATTGAGGTACTGATGTTCAGTGATTTATTCTGCATACCATATACATAATTAAAGTAGTGTAGTGGAGTAATTTATCAATCTAGTTGAGACTGGAGGGGTGAGGAGGGAGCTGCTGTATGTTTGTTTTATTAAAATGCTCCGAGATCTAGTCCCGCCCCCCTTTTGCAAGAGTGAAACTGATGTTTTCTCCAGCTCGCGATGAGAGAGTTAACGGTTCGGGATTTTGGGAAAGAGGGAGACACGGGGAAAAAGGCAGCACGACGGAAGGGGAAAATAAAATAAACAGGGAGAAGCGGGAGGAGGGAAAGATATAAAAAGGCACTTCATTGGACCTGGTCTGTAGAACCCCAACCCTGTAGAACCCCAACCTTGCAGAGGCCCTGCCTTCTCGGTGTCCTTCCACCACTCCCTCTCACTCCTAACACCTCCGCCTTTTTTTTTTTTTTAAGCGATGTTTCAAAGGCTATGCGCTGCTCTCCTTTTCTCATTCGTCTTCTGTCACTTCCTTCCTGGACGCAGTTTTCAGGACGAGTCTGGTTACTTTTAATCCAGCCGGCCGCTGAGAGCCACTTTCTCCTCCTCCTTCTCATCCTAGACCTCCTCCCGCTCTTCCTCCTCCTCCGAGCGGTCTGCGCGCGCGCGAGCGCGCGGCCCCGCGCGCGCCCCCTCCCCTCCTCCGGCGCGCGCACACGCACACATCATCTCCAGCTCTCGGCTCGCTCTGCTCGCAGTCACAGACACTTGAGCACACGCGTACACCCAGACATCTTCGGGCTGCTATTGGATTGACTTTGAAGGTTCTGTGTGGGTCGCCGTGCCGCATGTTTGAATCAGGTGGAGAAGCGCTTCAAGTCTGGACGAAGTAAAGACTGTTATTATTTTTTGTTTTTTTCTTTCTCTTTCTTAAGAAAGGAAAATATCCCAAGGACTAATCTGATCGGGTCTTCCTTCATGTAAGTACCTCTGACATTTCTCGAGGAAATAGAAATAGCCTAGGTATTGTCTCTGAAATCTGCATTCTAATGTTCTACAGCATTGGGTTTTTCCCTGTGCCTTTTCTGAAGACTGAAGTTGAAGCATGTTGTGCATTCTTTTCATTAGATTCCATAATTTTCTTGTCTGTTGCTAAAAGTAACTTTTTAGACAGTCGTATCCGTTTGCCATCAGCTATTGAAATCTCTCCTGACTCGATCCTGTCACACCAGTGTGTTTAAAGTTTCATGAAGTTAGTCCACGTCATTAGCATGTTTGATATGGTGGAGACGGGTGGATTTTGATATTTCACGGAATGTTCTGTGACCTTGAAGTGCATGCCACGAGATTAAGCATTTAGTTCACTGTGGAAGGATGCTACCATGAGTCCCCTCAAAGACTGATTTGCCCTGAATTATGCTCCTGAGCCACTAATACTTGGGATTAGTTTGAGATAAAGCATGGCTGGCTGTCAGAGCATACCTTTGTGCATCGCCTTCTCTCACGAGGGTGCTGCCTTGATAGAGGGTTTCTTAATTGATGTGGACAAAAAGTAGTACCCTAGCGACTGTAATCTATACATTTAACAATTGCTGTTGGAATTTCTGCATTTGCATCGTCATGTAGGTCAGGTCAAATGGAGAGCTGTTTCAAAATAAACTTAAATCACTTAAATTGCCTTCTGCTTGGACTTTGGATCAAAGTTACCAAACTCAGTGATAAAGTTTGGCACAAAAGAAGTATATATGAGTTTACACTGGCAAGCTGTGTATTTCATTATTAAATAATTTGCAAGTATTTCAGTTTAACGCCAGTCTTACCTTCTTTATAGAATATGTCCAGTGATTCTTTTAAGGAAATCTTGTAGCTGAACTATTTCTAATTATTCTAGGTTTAGTAATTATCATTCTTGAGGGGAAAACCTTCCCCCCCCTTTTCACATTTTAGGAATGTGTATCTTTTGTATAAAATACCTTCAAATGTAAAAGGTGACAGTATAATAAGTAGTATCAGGCTCTCTGCCAGTTCTTCACTGGGTCTTGGTCCTCAGTGGAGAAGCACTGTGACACAAAGTGCATCTTACTATTGTGAATCTGATACGAGCTGCAATAGTAACTGTCTTATGAAATGCTTAGTGACTGCATATATTCTTTTAAGTGCTGTAAAGGAAACTCCAGCCACTTTATTACACTAGTCAAAGGGGGGCTGGGTGGTGGGGGGAAGTGGCCAGCCTCCTTTTCCCTGGCACCTTGCAATGGAATTGTGGTCACAGAGTAAAGATGTTTGTGTGGAGCATAATAACTCCAGCCCCTAGAGACTTGGTAGGACATGGAAATATGACCACCTGTGAACCCCCTGTAACCTCTATGCTACATACTCATTTTAGCTTTAAATAGATCATCAATCAACAATTTGAAATTAAAACATTTTCTTTAGCTTTGAAAATAACGTTAAACCTCAATAGTCTTTTGCAAATACTCGGTATGTAAGCAATATTTTGTTTCTCCATTAGTCTCTTGCAGATAAGCAGTTAATACATCTTTATTATTGTCTTCCAGTATATGCACAAATTATTTATTAAATGAAAAGAAGTAGTTCTTAAAGAAGTGAATTCAGAATTCGGCAGATAAAAATGAGCTATCACTGTGTAGCACTCTGTTTCCAGTTGAGTGGAGAAAATTTTTTAAATCAAACATCTTATTCTATTTGTAAAAAAACATGTAGCCAATTTATTCCAGAAGTAGCTTGATGCTAAATTTTTCATCAAGGCACATTTTAATGTAGCAATTTAGAAAAATTATGATAACGGATCAAATAAAAGAAATTATGGTCCTCAGGTTTACTTCAAGTGTTACCAAACTATGAAAATTCAGCATTTTTACCAAATTCATTTGTTCTGTAGTATTTATTATTAATGGTGTATCTTAAAGACAATATTTTTACTTAATTCATTTGTTAAACAATTTATATCCTTGACTGCTGTACATGTAGAAGAATTAAAAAGATAAAATTATTAAAGAAGATCTTTTACTAAATATTGTTCCTTTTGGTTTAAATAGCAATCGAGTAAAATTAAGGAAAGGTCAACTTTTATAAGCTGTCCATCTTTTGAAAGTATGTAATCATAGATGTAAACTTTGTAGAACAGATACATACACATTATTGTATAGCTACTTGAAACTTGTTAAGGACTTACTGCACTTTGCCTCATCTTTTAAACATACTCATTTTGCAATATTTGAGGAGAAATGCTCATTATAATAGGTAGAAAGAGCTGAAATGATTCACAGGTGAATTCTGGAAAAGTGTCATGTTTTATATTTTTAAGACTTATTTGTGTTTCTTTCCTGGTCTTCACCTTATCAAGTTAGTAAAATGCATTCGTGTATTTAAATTCCTTTATAAAGAACTTGATTAAATAACGTCTTGACATGTGTTAGCATTATCTTTCAAAACTTTTGTCTGTTTATTGTAGTATATTCTTGTGGTTTTATTTCCCAACTCACTGTGTGGTGTATTTTGAGTCTGTGAAATCACAGAAAGTGACAAAAAAATGGGGAAATATCTGTGCAGCAAAATAACAAAGAATTAGTTATTAAATAGAGAACGCTATCTTTTGGAACATGATTCAGAGCAACATGGAAGAATTTGATATGCAATTGAAGGCTCAAAGACTGGACTTTATGGCGTTATTACGAAAGTTCTACTGTTTTTCCCCCCCAAAAGCACATCTACTTTTGAAAATATACCATACATATTACTATCTAAAACTTACAAGAATGAATATATTAATTTTACAAAGATAGTGATTGCCTGGACACAGGGAAGGGATTTAATTGCTGATATCAGTCAGTAGACTGCAAGAGGGAAGAATAGGTGATTAAGGTCTTTGCCCTGAGCCCTGCACCTTAATCTTGCAGACATGGACTACCCTGCTCTCAGTAAATCTTGACTGTTTGCTGAGGTCTGCCATCATTAAGAAATCAAACCAGATTACAGAGGTGATTCACAAAACCAGGAGTGACAACAGAGTCCATGCACTTTACAAAAGGCAGATTAGGCAGTTCATGTTATTTTGATAAGCCAGAGATAAAAGCTTCTTGCTGGGGAATGGCCAGACACTGAGTTTGAAATGCTTGCTAGGTAAAATGTACCATGACCCTGTTGCTTCATCATTGCGAAGAGTCATTGAAACAGTGGAAAACTCAGTTTTCAAATGGCAGGCTTTCTGTAACGAAGTGACAGAAAACATGTCCTTTTTATATATGTCTTTGTTGCCTAAATTTTAAGTTCCATCACTTTCTTTGTGAACAGACATTAAGGACTGGCAACGGCTCACGTGAAGGAGTCCTTGTAAGACTTAAATACCATAAACATTTTCTGAAACATTGTAGAGAACACTAAGAACAGAATTTGCTAGTGAAAGGAAATCTACACCCATGCTATTTATTAATTGAGCAGAAAATACCTAATAGTCAATATCTATTATCCTATTAGATATAGTTTCTATAAAAACATATAATTGCATATATGTTAATCCATACATCTTAAATAAGTGTGTGATAGATCATCCTTTATAACAAAATATGATGTTTTGAGAGTTTATTTCAGACACTGGTTTCGTTTACATAATAACACTGAAAAATCTCAATTACTTTACACAGTCAACTCTACAGTAATTTCTTGCTTCTTCTAAAATTGAAGTCCTTTTTTACCCAACTGATGCCTCCTAGTGTTTCACACAATAAAACACTAATGAGTCACCCATAAATGTAAACATTGCATTTTCATTGCCTGCATCTTCTGTGATACATAAAATTAATATTTATGTGTTTAATTTTCTGTGTATTGTTATAATAAGATAGGAAGTCTTAGTGAATGAAATGTTTCATTTAGGTGGATTTGTGGCCCACACTAGCAGGTTTTCTTTGACCATAACAATATCTTACTAAGTTTTTAATAAGTTGATTGCCTTTGGTTCCAGTTCATATATTCACTATTTAAATTCACTTTCATTCTAAGTTAAAAAAAATATTAGAGTAGCAGAGCTTCCATTTCATAGTCCTGAAAATTATATAGCTAAGTTCATGTTGGAATGGCTTATGTGTAACAAATGAAAGAACTAACAATCTCATTTAAACATTAAAATATCTTAAAAGATATAGTTCTCTTTTTAAAGCTACTTTATGTCTTTACAACAGCAGTTTTCTAGGTAAAAGTGAAATAAAGAAAAAGACCATTGGGTGGGGGTGGGAGGAAGGAACTAAGATAAATGCCCACATTCCTGCAGATAGAGAGCCTTTCACTTTAATAGAAATTAACACCCACAAAACTTGTCTTGGGAATATAATACTCTACATAGTAGAAGAAAGACTTGTTAGAGCATAACTTCTCCTGACTAGCAGGTTACCTTAATGAGTTAAAAGTTAGTGGACATCAAGTGTTATGTCAGCTTTCTATTATAGGACGAATATGAACATGAAATATTTTTACCTTTCTGTAATTTCAGGAAGATTTCGGTGAAGCTAGATACTTTAGTTTCTGAATAATTTTTCTTTAAAATATTTATCCTTGTAATGAGTCTTATATTCATAGAATTCATTCACAAAAACCTGTGACATTTTTGATATATTCGTGAGTTGTCAGACAAGTGCCCAAAATAGTCACAATTTCTTCTAAACTTATAAGAGTTCTGAGAGTCCAAATGCAAATTCTAGATTGAACTAATTCATTTCTGTTATCTCTGTACATGCCATTTATCCCTCCTAATTCCAAATACACAACATATTGATAACATTTGGCTATAAATCTTTATATTTGTTGATAATATAGCACTACTACAATCCTGTAATGTTGGACACATTTCAAAGGATGTTTGGGTGTGTTCTTTTTGTCTAAGGAAACAAGTAGAAAAGCGTAGACCATAAGAGCCCCATCTCTTTTCTTTGGAGAGTTGAAGCAAATGTGCTCTCTATAGGTG